GGAAAGGCCAAAAAAAAGAAAAGAAAAAAAGAAGCTTCTTTTTATTCGACCCGTATGGACTGTTTGTTTTTGTTGTTTTTTTCTCGCTCTTCATGTTGTTTTACTACTGCCATCAAACTGTGCTGGAATTCATTTAAACAGGGCTTATTTATTCATCTCATTAGATCTACTAGTTAGTTTTAACTGCACGCAGCCAAGTCACGAAACCTCATTAAAATTACCAGATGAGCTACAAAATGTTAACTAGACAGTAGAATTAGCTGGTTACTGGAGAGTGAACCTGTAACTGTATTAAATAATGTGGTTAAGGAGAGGATAATTGAAACTGAATTACACTTGAGTTTGTTGCTTGATATTTTTATTTTATTTTATTTTTTAAATTGGGTTAAACCGAATGTATTTATTTATTTCCTGCCCTGTGACGTGTGATGTTTTCTGGTATGTATTTTTGACATTATTATATATATTTTTTGTTTGTTTCATTGCTGCTTCCAGACGTGTGATGTTTTCTGGTATGTATTTATGACATTATTATATATTTTTTTTGTTTGTTTCATTGCTACGACTTTGTTGTGAAATAATGATGTCATTTTGGTTTTACTCAGTGTGAGCCAAATGGCCTGGTAATAAAAGCGGCCTATCTCATAAAAAAGGCGATTCTTGTACGACTTCCTGGCTAGTTTTGATCATTTTAACAATGACGAATTTCCAGTTTTAATGTTTATTCTTTTTACCCTTAAATATATAAATAATACCTCATTTAAGTAAAACATTTTCAAGGTGCTGTTGTTTGGTTTAATGCCATTAAATCTCAACGTTCTAAACAGACGCAGCCAATCAGTCACATTTGAACTGATTTCTTTAAATCACGTATTTAAAAAAACAAATAAATATTAGAGTAAAATGTCGGAAGTGAGATTTTACTTATTAAAATATGAAATCCAAAAAATGTTGAGGGAAAATAAATGTTCCTTCATTTGCTGTGATATTTCAGATACTGTGAGCATGTGCTGGTGGTTTGTTTTTGCCTGGTTAAATTGTACAAAATGAAAACCTGTTTCCTGTGTGTTTCTTTACACCGAGCTGCGGTTAAACACACACGGGATATAAAGTGTTAACAATCAGTTCTAGACTTTTCCACAAATACCATTTCTGCCTATTTCGGTTGAAATACGTCGACAGAAAAACCAGTATTGCGTTTTCCAAAACCCTCGCTGGTTTATGCTCTCATTAAAAAACACTCAAGTGGAAGTGAATGGAGTTCTACTAGAATTTATTTTATAATGAAGTACTCGGTGACAGAGTACAACAGCGTCACTGCAGCAGCATTGTCCCACTGGGTGGCTCTTCGCATTCTTTTGGTAGTTTCAGAAAAAATATTTAGGAATATTTTTACACCGCGAGCGAATACTGTGACGACAGTGTTCCTTGGAGCAGGCCAGGAACCTTCAGTTTTCGCTGACCACAGATATTCGACTGTGTTGTTTGGCGTGTGTGCGTGACGTGGACTTAGACGCTGCTGCTGCCCCGTCAGTCCGTCTGTCTGTGTGTGTGTCTGTCTGTGGGTTCAGTTCAGAATCATTCTCAAATACAAGGGCAGTCGGTGGGTTCGACCAGAGTCAGTCAGTGGCTGTGTACCAGCGTGTACACAAACAGTACTGCCAGACTCCAATACTTAACGTCATATACAATATTTGTTCAAACTATACACACAGATATCACATAAAATAAAATAAAACACTCGATGTCTTAAAAACACGCGTGTCTTTGTTGTTCTCCTGAAACACTATCAACAGTGGGACTTTAACACGACGTTTAATTATTATTATTTTTACTAACTTTTGTATTTTTAAATACACACGATAATGTGATTACTTTTAAAAAAAGTGTAGTCATGTACATTTGTAAAAAAAAATAAAAAACAACACACACACATACATAATGCCTGATGTAAAGCCACACCTAATGTATGTCTCAACACACACGGCTTACACATAGGTAAAAAATCTGTTTTATGACACATTCAAACACAGCCTGTCGGCTACAGCCTGGAGCTGAACAAAACAATCACACACACACACACACACACACACACACACACACACTGATTCACACACACACACACACAGAGAGAGACAAATTAATTTAGGCCATGCACCTCCACAAGCATCTCTTAATAACAGTTTTCCGGAGAGGATCCAGATTCCATTAGAGCTCCAGGCAGCCCACATGATTATGACCTGATCGCTGTGACGTCACGACAGGAATAAAAATCACATTTTAATGTGAAAGTGTTGGAACGACACAGGTGTGACAAAAAGGTAATAAAACAAACAGACACAGCAAAGAAACCATTACTGCCAAACTATTATATTATTATTAATATTAATATAATAATTAATATTGTTGTTGTTGTTGTTGTTTGAATTTGTTGTTTAATTTGACCTTCTCCTTTACAGACGAGCTGACTGGGTTGACACGTCACGGCGTTGACGCCACGACATGTTGTGAAACCAGAGTGGAAACACAACGTGTGTATCTTTTTTAAACCCACTTTATACAAACGCTGCTGCGGAGAATGGATATTTCTGAACTGGCACAGCCGCGGCCACCAAACAACAACGTTGTATATTCTGGAGAAAGTAAAAAAAATAAACAAAAAAGAAAAGGGAGGGGAAAAATGCATGACAACAAACACAGTGATTTGTTTCTGGAAATGTTTATAACCTTCTTCTGACGTTCTGCCAAAATATTTCCAGAAGAAGGAGGGAGAGGAGAAAGTTTGGGGGTGATGAGAGCTCCTAAAATATGGCTACATGCTTTGTTTTTGTCTGCGTAAAACCTTCAATGGTTTCTTTACACACACACACACAGAGAGAGACAGACACACACACACACAGGGGTTGATTGCGACAGTATTTTACCATGGTCTTTACACTTGTCCAAACCACAGGCCGTTCTTTCACCACTAAATTTGTGTCCAATTGATTTCCAAAGCTCGGAGCTGATATTATATGACCGGCAGGTACAGGTGCCGCGTGTTTGCGCCTGCGTGTCTCTTGTTATTGCGCTAATCAGGAGCCACTGGAGCGACTCGAGCTAATTTGCAGCTGGCAGCTCCCTTTGAAAGCCCCGTCCACTTGGACGTGAGCTGCTCCAGCTTTGTGTCCTCTCTGGGGCCGCTGTCCACTGCTGTGCGCAACAGCAAATTTATGGTGCCAGAATCATATGAGTTCCTTTTAATTAAATAAAAAACAAAAGTGCCAAGAGCCATCAAAGAAGAAGCCGTGCAGAGCTGTGGCACCGCCGCTGCTGCCGCCGCGTCCAGCTGAAAACTTTGCAAAGACAATAAAGAAACAACAGCTTTCTAACAGCGCTGGTTTAAACTGAGGCGGGGTTTTTTTTAAAGAGATATTTTGTTGCAGCAATGGCAGGAGCTCGTTTTTACAACACGGAGCTGTTTTATGGCCCTGTAGAACAGGATAGGTGCCGAGATGAGAGTACTGCACTGTAGTATAAAACCATTGAGTGGCCTTTAAGCCGCTGATTAACATTTGCAGAGGTGGGAAAATAGAATACCTAGACGGTTAGATGACGGTTACAGTAAAACCACAACATCAGTCAAGACTGACAAGGAGACGGACTGGTGTACAGGAAAATGTTGACGTTGGAATAAAAACAAAAATTAAAAAAATCAATTATGAACAACTTTATTTTTATTTTGCTTTAAAATTTGTAAGAATAAAAACAAAAATTAAAAAAAAAAATTCAATTATGAACAACTTGGTTTAAAATTTGTAAAATTTAAAAGTTGATTTAAAAAAAAAATGTTGTTATTATTCTGTTGTCATTCCGTGTGTTAATACAAATATCAGTGAAGTATGTACAGGCTAACAGGAATACACAGTATGCACATACTCCAGGCTACTGCTACTGTCTGATGTTATCATCAGATTGAAAACACTCAGCAGTCATTCCTCACGGTGACTCACTGACTTTCTCCATCACATTTTCACTCCAGTAACGACTTGTATCTTCTGCCCTCTCTTGTATTTTCGCTTCATTCACATTAAAACACACACACTCACACACACTCTCTCTCTCTTTCACACACCGCCATTTTCCCTGCACCACAGCAACAACACCCAAGTGCACGAGCCAGGCGGGGACGTGACCGCCTGTCAGTGCTGCCCTGCAGCCACGGTGGACTGTCCTGTCACAGCACCCCACTGAACCACAGAGGATGTCTGCGAGACTAATAATAGCCCACTACTCTGATGTCACCGGGGCATCCATGTCAGGAAACGTTTTGGAGATTCCGTTGAGGAAACAGAGCAGTGCGGAGGAGGCCGGCTGAGAGAGAGAGAGAGAGAGAGAGAGAAAGAGAGAGAGGGGGGGATCACCGGCCCCCGTGTGGCTGACAGACAACATTGGCAGGAGCCTCTGCAACAGCTCCCTGTGCTGGAGAAAACTACAAATTACCCACGTCACCGTCCCAGGGCCAAGGTTGGTGGGTGTGGCGAGAGTGGAGCTCCTATAGCCTTGATCTCCGTGTGCAGCGTCAGAGCGGCCGCCCTGTCCTTTCCCACCATAAGGCAGTGACAAATGTTAATTCCCCTCGGATTTCATTTTTTTTGGGGGGGGGAGCTGGGGGGTAAATAAATAAAAAAAATATGTTCACAAAACAAACCAACACTCTGGTGGTGTTTTCAGACCGTTCCTGTTCTCCTTCATAACCTCCACAACCACATTAAACCCGAGCTAACCATAACAAGCAAGACCAGAAACCATGCAGGCAAACCTGCTGCTGCTGCTGCTGCTGCTGCTGCTGCTGTGGGAGCCTTTTGATCCACAGACACACAGACAGACAGGACGTCTAATCTGGAGAATCAAAGGATGGACCGACTCACACCCAGACCCAAACCTTGGAGTTTGTACTCAGACCATAAAACCTGGCCGAAAACACAAAGCACACACACACACTCTCTCTCTCTCTCTCT